CGGCAAAGGTTGGTAGAGAGTACTGGTGGTTGAATCTGAAAATCAGAATGGTGCACTGGGAAGTATTGGCATGGGCTAATCGACAAACCTAAGATAGTCAAATCAACCACGAGAGTTTTAAGAACAAATCTTGGAAAGAATGGACTAGCTCGGGACTTCAAGACTTTTTTGATTGTTCTTTTGGCTCTTGATCCTCATCGACTGAGAAAGCAGCAGATCATGCACTCTACGTTTTAACTGCAAGGCACCGGATAGCATATACTTTGGTCAGAATTGAAACGTGAAATTTGAGGAGACAATTTAATCACAGGTTATGTTTAATAAGATGAAAACATCAATGCGCATCAAGTTCTTGATGAAAAAAAAAATTCCAAATTAAGTTAAATTTTCCCTTGCAGAAACTAAGCTCAAGGAACTTGTATATGCTAAATCCTTTCTAGTTTCTACCTCCTAATTACTAGATCCTAGTTTATATGGTCATTTTCAGGTGCTCTTGGATTTAGAACTAGGGCTCTGGGATCGCCAATGAAATCAATAATGACACTTTCGTCTGAATTCTTAAAGGTAGAAAGATGAACAAAAAAATGCTGTCAACGAATTTCTATTTATCTCAATGCAGGTATTTCATATCATGCTTTTAATTGCTACTAATAAATAAAGAACAAGATAGTTTAAAGGTAATTAGTAGAAAATCTACAAAACCAGAACTAACACTTCGTGTATACATGCATAATTCAGACTAAAGAGGCCAGAAATCCTTGGGGTTTTCCTTACAGATAAAATACCAGACTTGACTCAAATTCGCAGTTAGTTTCTTCTAAGAGATGCCTTGCAAGAATCCACTTGCATCAGTTAAGCAATCCTGTATTGGTAATTTATTGGATACTCCAACTAGAGCCAAGTGGTTTGGGTTGGATGCTTGGATGCAGTATAAGAGCAAATTGTTCTTGAATGCACGTGCAATTGCATACTTGGTTCTTCATGGTACACTAATTCAAACTCCCTAAAAGTGTGTTCAAGAAGAAGTTGAAGCCAAGAGACAAACCTCATCAGTACTAACTTCACTCTTAACTGATACACGTAAAGCTCCATCAGGTCCCACCTCACGATACTTCGCCAGCTCCAGATGATCGACATTACCATCTTCCGGGATGAAGACAACAGGAGACTCTTGAAGCAGATCACATTTAGAGACAACATCAAGCCAAAGATGGTCGGGGAATCTCTCCCGTATTTCCTTGTAAATGACAAACTGCATAACCCACAATCACACTCAACAGCAGCTTAAGAAAAATATGGTAGAAAATATTGAAGTACATAACATATTAGAAGAGTGAGAATCATTAGAATGGAAGTTATGAAATACCCTTAGACAAGCTTCTATGGTTGCATGTAAAAAAAAAAAAAAAAAAAACCAAAACTGGCGTTTTCTATTCAGAAAGGAACATAAAGCATATAATACCTGATCAGAAGGTAAAGTCCCACATTCTCCAGATAGATCGTGGACATAAAGTACAGCAGTTGGCAAATGAGAGAGGACAGCGAGTGTCAACTTTTCTAAGTTATTCCTATCCTCTGTACTTACACACCAGAAATAGGTCATGCAACCAAACAAGAAACAAGCGCAGATGTCTAAACAGTAATGAACTCAACATGCCTTTGTTTAGAAAGAATTCAAGAATTACCTTTATATATAATATTTTATCTTTCACATTAG